GTTCGTGTGTTCGTGCGTTCGTGCGTTCGTGCGTCCGTGTGTTTGTGTGTTCGTGCGTTCGTTCGTTCGTGCGTTCTTGTGTTCGTGGTTTGTGCGTTTGTGCGTTCGTGCGTTCGTGCGTGCGTGCGTGCGTGCGTTCGTGCGTTCGTGCGTTCGTGCGTTCGTGCGTTCGTGCGTTCGTGCGTTCGTGCATTCGTTCGTTCGTGCGTTCGTGCGTTCGTGTGTTCGTACGTTCTTCTGTTCGTGCGTTTGTGCGTTCGTGCGTCCGCGCGTGTGTCTGTGCGCGCATCTGCTTGCATGTTCGTGTGTTCCTGCGTTTGTGTGTTCGTGTGTTCGTGCGTTCCTGTGTTCGTGCGTTCGTGTGTTTGCGTGTTCGTGCGTTCGTGTGTTCGTATGTGTGTGTGTGTGTTCGCGTGTTCGCGTGTTCGTGTGTTCGTGCGTTCGTGTGTTCGTGTGTTTGTGTGTTCGTGCGTTCGTGCGTTCGTGTGTTCGTGCGTTCGTGCGTTCGTGCGTCCGTGTGTTTGTGTGTTCGTGCGTTCGTTCGTTCGTGCGTTCTTGCGTTCGTGCGTTTGTGCGTTCGTGCGTTCGCGCGCGCGTGCGTGCGTGCGTGCGTTCGTGCGTTCGTGCGTTCGTGCGTTCGTGTGTTCGTGTGTTCGTGTGTTTGTGTGTTCGTGTGTTTGTGCGTTTGTGTGTTCGTGTGTTCGTGCGTTCGTGTGTTCGTGTGTTCGTGTGTTCGTGTGTTCGTGTGTTTGTGTGTTCGTGTGTTCGTGTGTTCGTGTGTTCGTGTGTTCGTGTGATCGTGTGTTCGTGTGTTTGTGCGTTCGTGCGTTCGTGCGTTTGTATGTTTGTGCGTTCGTGTGTTCGTGTGTTCGTGCGTTCGTGCGTTCGTGCGTTCGTGCGTTTGTGTGTTCGTGTGTTCGTGCGTTCGTGCGTTCGTGCGTTCGTGCGTCCGTGTGTTTGTGTGTTCGTGCGTTCGTTCGTTCGTGCGTTCTTGTGTTCGTGGTTTGTGCGTTTGTGCGTTCGTGCGTTCGTGCGTGCGTGCGTTCGTGCGTTCGTTCGTTCGTGCGTTCGTGCGTTCGTGTGTTCGTACGTTCGTCGTTCGTGTGTTCGTGCGTTCGTGCGTTCGCGTTCGGGCGTTCGTGCGTTCGTGCGTTCGTGTGTTCGTGTGTTCGTGTGTTCGTGCGTTCGTGCGTTCGTGTGTTCGTGTGTTCGTGCGTTCGTTCGTTCGTGCGTTCGTGCGTTCGCGCAATTGTGTGTTCGTGTGTTCGTGTGTTCGTGCGTTCGTGCGTTCGTGCGTTCGTGCGTTCGTGTGTTCGTGCGTTCGTGCGTTCGTGCGTTCGTGTGTTCGTGTGTTCGTGTGTCCGTGCGTGTGCCCATGTCTGCGTGTCTGCCTGTCTGCGCTGCGCGCGTGAGCGCGCCGGTGTACTTGTCTGTGTGTGTGTGTGTGTGTCTGCGGACGTGTGCGTGTGAGACGGTGCGTCTGTGTGACTCTCTGCGCGTCTGTCTGCCTGTGTGTGTGTGGTTCTGTCTGTCTGCGCTGCGCGTGTGTGTCTGTCTGTCTGTCTGCCTGCGTGTCAGTCTGTGCGTTTGTCTGCGCATCTGTCTGCAAGTGAGTTCGTGTGTCTCGTTCGTGTATGGGTTTGCTCGAACGCGCGTGTTTTTGCGCGTGTGTGTGTATGTGTGTACGTGCGTGTGTGTGTGTGTGTGTGTGTGTGTGTGTGTGTGTGTGTGTGTGTGTGTGTGTGTGTCTATGTGTTTGTGCGGTGTGGGTATGTGTCTGTATGTGTCTGCACGTGTGCGTCTGTCTGCGTGTGTGTGTGTGTGTATGTGTGTGTCTGCGCGCGCGCGTGTGTGTGTGTGTGCGGCGCGCGTGTGTGTGCGTATGTGTGGGCGCGTGTCTGGCTGCGCGCGCGCGCGTGCGTCTGTGTGTGTGTGTGTATGTATGTGTGCGTGCACGTGTCTGTGTGTGTGTGTGCGTGTGTGTCTTTATTGCATGCGTGCCTGCTGGTACGCGCGCGCGTGAGTGCGGGCGGGTGTGCGAGTGTGTGCGCGTGTGTGTGGGTGTGTGTGTGTGTGCGTGTGTGCGGGCATGCGTCCTTGAGCAAGCGCAAGGACATGTCCGATTCCCGCTTCAACGTTGGGTCACCAAGTTGGCGGGGCGCAGCAGCAAGGCAGCCCGGCACCTCCGCGGCAACTCCGAACCAAGGACGTGGCGCCAAAGCATTGCACAGCAAGTCTTTGAAAGCCGTTTACCGCAACAAGACTACAAGGTATGCCAGTTTGCCAGACTCCTTCGCCAACCAAAACCAGCCAAAACAAGCAAGCTACCAAGCAAGCTACCTCAAACCTCAGCCTCTTTGTGGCTTCTCTTTCATGTCAAAGCAGCAAATGACAGGAGGTACCGGCGACACTCGCAATTCACGCAGCCTCTACACAACCATACTGCCCGACTGTCTCCCAAGGCTGGCTCCCCAATCTCCCTCCGAAGCGCTTTTTGGCTCCAGCCGTTTTTGGCTCAAGTGGTGGCAAAGCATGAGGTGTCACTAATGCAAGGCACAGAGACAACAAAGGCTACTGAAATGCCGTTTGGCGGGCGCGGCTGTCGGTGGAAAAGCTGGCACAGCAGCGCGGCAAAAACCAAAAGCGGGTCCAATTGCATAACAAGCAACTCCTCACAATGCAGCTGTCTTTTAGGATAAACCTGCCTCCCTGCCAACAAACAACGCTCCCAGGGCTAGCTGTCGGCCCTGTCAAGCTCTCACACAAAGTCTTGAACACAGGGCCCGCCCGTGGTGTCTTGGCCAACTCCGCCTCTGTAGGTGACGGCCGTGTCGGCGGAGACCACGGGGCCCAGAAGCGCAGCAGCAGCAAATCACCCGGCACCTCCGACCGCATAAAGACTTTGGATCCAAGGATGTGGCATCAGAATATGGCAGAAGAAGTCTGGGACAACTTTCTCCCGCAACAGAGCCAGAGGAGTAAAAGGTGCGCCAGTATGCCAGGCTCCTTCACAAACCAAAACCAGCCAAAACAAGCAAAAAGGACAACCCTGACAAGGGCTCCCTCAAACCTCCGCCTGTGCGTGGCTTCTCTTTTCCCTTTCAAAGCGGCGCATGAAGGAGGTACCCCACAATCTCTGCGCCGAAAGGCTTTCTGGCTTCAACTGTTTATTGGCTCGAGGGGTGGCAAAGCATGAGGCCTGACTAACGCGAGGCACAGAGACACCAAAGGCTATTGAGACTACCCCCGTGACATTTTATCGCTGATGGGGAGGGCCGATGATCTACAGAGCTTTGGATAGGGCTTCGCCTTGGTGGGGCCAGGGCATCCTGCCAAACCGACCCACGAGCGAGGGCACCTGCAGCCCAGCAGCAAGGAAACGCCTTGCCCAGCGGCATCTGCGCAGCACCTGCAAAAACCGTCGGTGGAAAAGCTGGCAAAGCGGTGTGGCCAAAACTTTCTGCGGGCCCAACTGCATAACAAGCAACTCCTCACAATGTAGCCGTCTTTTGGGGTAAACCTGCCTCCCTGCCGACAAACAACGCTCGGGCCGGGGCCAACTATTGAACACAGGGCCCGTGGTCTCTTTTGCCGACTCTGCCTCTGCAGGTGACGGCCGTGTCGGCGGAGACCACGGAGCCCAGAAGCGCAGCAGCAAAGCAGTCCAGCCCCTCCGCAGCAACCGCGCAAAGAATTCCGACCCAAGGTGTGGCATCGAGCCATTGCAAAAAGAAGTCTTGGGGGCGCCCTCCCCTATAACTAGGAAAACCATGGCTAGCTAGCTGTCCTGGCAACATGTATTTTTCAACATGGTCGGATCTTGAGAAGAAGTCAAATGTCGCGAGAATTACACTGCAAACAGCCCCAGAAGCCTCTGGGACTGAAACACTGAGCCGCCCCAGGCACACTAGATCCAAGAAAGATAGCAGCCTCCAGCCACACTGTGGCCCGAACTGCGTCTGTCAAAATTCACTCCTTGCAGGAGCACGCCGCTCAAAGCCCGACAACGTCAGCCACAAGTCGTGTGTCCCGACTGTAGAGGGCAGCGGCAAATGGCACCAAGCACTTTGGCCCACCTTTCTTGCGTTTGTCCCCGGATTTGCGCCCACGCCCGGAGAGCATCTCATCGCCCGCCGGCTCAAGCAAAGAGCCATTCCTGCGCTGGAAAACGTGGCTGGGCAATCCAAGCAGGGCTAAACAAGTGCTGCAGGTTAGCACGGCCCACTGGCTGCGCCCGTGACAACCTAAATGGGTGAGTTCAAAAACAACAGCCAAATGGCGAATTCAAAAACAAACGTCCGCGAGGGATGTGAGCCTTACTTCGCCTTCTTTTCAGGTGGCTGACAGTCCCCGCGCAGTGCTTGCCGACAACGCTGCGGTGCGCTTATCTCGGTCACATTCGTGTGGGACAAACCACCACCAGCCTGTCAAAGACAACCAGCTTCATCCCAAAAAATTCTTGGCCAGATCAACGGGCTGTACTTGTTCGTTGGATACCACGGCTGTTGGTTGACTGGCCCTTGCGCAAACAAGTTGAGCTACCGCAGCACAGCGCAAGCCCTGAATAAGTTACTGCGAAAGCAAGTGCCTCAACAAACGCGCTTTCACACTCTCCTATCTGCGAAGAAGTTGCCTTGAGGCGCGGACACAGAGCGATGAGTCATACAAACGGTAGTTTTTTGCTTGGGAACGCACTGCTTCTTGACCAGCCGCCCGCCCGACGAGGCGTCCGCCCAACCCTCCGCCTGCCTGATTGTCCATGGAAATTTGGCCGTTTCGCACATGGGCACCTGCAACAGCAACAACCTCAGACCTGTCAGCCAACAGCTCGCCAATTGTTATAGTCCCCGAGGAGCCCTCCAAGATGACAGATTGTTGGCTGCGCGGACACCAGTCCAACAGGTCGTCTGTGCTCTCCGCCTCGTCCAAGCTCTCTTCGGACTGCACGGCGCCCGACACACACAGCAACTCCTGGCCCATGGAGAGCTTTTGCCATTTGCCCGGTCGGGAAGAGGAAATGAGCACCGCGCAGCGACAAGGCCGCGCCCGTTCATGTAGATGTCCGCCTCCTTGCAACTGGACAAGTGCACCGCATCGTGCTGCGCCTGGACCGCGCCGCTGCCTTGCAAGGTAGCCAACGGTGCCAATGCTAGACATAGCTAGACTTTGATTCGCCTATCAATGGCAAGCCGGGCCTTTACACGGCACACTTAGCAGTCTAATGTCATGAAGGCTTGCGCGCTAAGCAGCGGATCTGAAGCATCCTTCTCACCGATGTCTGGCTGCTTGGAGTTCGCGGCTGGCCCGCAGCATCTTGCCACTGCCACCGCAAGCTCCCCGCCGAAGGGCTGCATGTCCTCCGCCGCCGTGAGCCGCAGCAGCGGCAGCTGGTAGGGTTGAAAGACAACTTCGCAGCGCAAGACAACAAGTGGCGGGCGCTCTGCTTCCCAGGCAGGCAGCTGCTCTTCCAGTGCGTGGTGGTCCAGGAGGTGAGTGTAATGCAGCAGGCTCGTGGGAAGCAGCGGAGCTGCAAGGTGCATTTCCCGGCGACCCGTGTTCGGACGTTGGGTGGAGACCTCAAAAATAGTCGTAGAAGCGCTCGAGTCCTGTTTGGCCGCGATGTCCTTCAAGCCGCTTCGCTGCATCCATGGCAACGTCTCCTGAATCACCACGTCACCCTGGGCAAAAGGCTTCGCAGCCCAGGCCGCCAGAAAGAAGGAGCAACTGCGACCTGGCCAAAAAATCTGAAGGGGCAAGTTGTGGCGCCGCTGCCAAACCTGTTTGTTGTGCTTGGGCGCCAGACATATTTTTTTGAAAACAACCAACGCTACGCACAAGCGAGCTAAGGTTGTAGCCTGGTGGGCGCAGCTGCTATTGGCCAGCACTAAGATGTCCGGCCAGCGCTGAAATGGCCGCAACTCTTCCGCCAAGCTGTCCTGCACCTTCTGCAAACTTGGGCTGCTGTGGACCTTGGGGAATGGGTCGGCCTTGCTCTGCACATGGATACCGTTGGAGCGCTATGGGCTGCGGAGGTTTACTAACAGCACCCAGCTGCTATCTTTGGCCAACACGAGGCTCACGCAGGTGTGCTACCTGCTTGACTGCACCAATGTGATGCTCGGGGAGGCCAAGCGCGCCAAGATTGATTGTCTGGCCTCGGTTGTGCCTTGCCACTGCTAGTTGGCCATACTGCGGCTGTTTAACTCATATCACCCCATGAGATTTGCAAGTGGCTGTGTCAGGTGCAGGCTTTGGCGGACAGCGCAGACTCGGTTGGGGTGATCTTGCTGGCTGCGGAGCAAGTCAAGCTGGACGCGTCCTTCGTGACCAAGGCTCTTTCCTCTTCCATCGCAGTGCGCCACGTGATGGTCCAGCTTGACCAAGCCATCTGTGGGGAAATGCGCGGCCTCTCATGCCTCATCCTTGGCGCCGATGCCGCGCTGCGACGCAGGCCGCTGGCTTGTGGGCAGGTAGGTGAGTCAACGGGCGTTTGTCACCTTTCTGCAGACACAAGCCTATAAGTCCTGCGTGGTGGACTTGCAGCTGAACCGACGCGCCAGCCCCAAGTTGCAGAACGGGCATGCTATGTGGAAAGGACATGTGTGGACCGCCTCGTTCTTTGACAACTTGTTGCGCGCCTTGGGTGTCTGGAGGACGGCTTGATCGTGGAGGTCGACCCGTCGCCGGAGCTGGTTCAAGCTGCTGCAAAGACCGGCTTTCGATGGATGGGCCTCATGCTTGGCCACTGGCCGGCTCGCCAGACGTACCTTGAGCAGCTCGGCCGAGATCTCGCTGCCGAGCAGTTGGCGCAAGATGGAGAGAATGAGGACGGCGGGGACAAGGAAACGCAAACCCTAGCGGAGAGCATGCAGGAGACGTCCTTAGTGCGAGCGCAGCCTGTAATCGATGGACACGATCTACCAGTGGTGGGGGGCGTCCTCGCTGTCCGGGCCTCTGCTGTCTCAGCCAGGCACTTCTCGGCATTTTCTAGCAGCGGCTTGGCGGCTGCCATTGCTTGGCTAAACTGCAACACCATGGTGCTACTGAACAATCCTTGCCAGCGTCAATGTCAGTCAGCGTTGCCTGCTGCATCTCCATGGCCTCTTCCTGTGCCCTCCGGGCCTCTTCCAGCACGGCTTCTTGAATCCTGCGCCCTTTGGCGCGAACACCGGGCCAGGAAGCAGCCGAGCCCCTGTCCTGGGCGGGCAGGAAAGCATCGAAGCTTCCCCGAAGGAAAGCGTCATCGAGCTTGCGCAGCTCATTTTCCGTGAGTCCATGGTCGGCTTGAAGGGCCGCACGCACAGGCAGGTAGTGCCTTGCGGCGGGGGGGAACTTCCCCTCACAGAGCAGCTCTCACAAATGCACGGCTTTGACACCCAATTTTGCCCTGGCACCCATTACTAGAAGAGTTTGCAAAAAACCAGTCGGAATCAGGCCATGGTCGGGCAAGACCCTTTTCCCTAAATCGTGCTCCGACACTGTAAAACCACAGTCTGCTGGCTAGGCTGCTTGCTGGCCTGGCGTTGCGCTTCCCGGCGCTGCTCGGTGACAGCCACAGCTAGCCCCGGCACCTTTGTCTTCTTCTCGTGCTCCGGGAGGTGCCCAAGCCGTTCTCGAATCAGCTGCGCGAAGTCAGCGCAATATCTGCGGATGAAGTGCACCTGCTCCGCTTCGCTGAGACAGTCCTGCGATAAGCTTGGGGGGGCCCGGCCGCAGCCAAGCACAAAAGGCGAAGGAGAAGAAAGGTGAGGCAAGAGCAGAACCGTATTCTGTTGTATCAAGCGCCCTTTGTTTGGCAGCGTCTCGTCCCAAATCGATTTCAAGCAGTGTTCGTCAAAGGCCTCAGCTCCAGCCGCACTTCGTCTGCAGAGAAAGAAGCCTCCAGATGCAGGTGACGCGAACAAGGCGGCGAGCTCCGCCAGCAGCGTCGCGTTGGCCTTGGCCCCCTGGAGCGCTGTAATGCTGGCGTCGCGGCTAGCAAGCTGCGCTGCAACAAAGGCCTTGGTGGCAAGACCCAGGCCTCCAGCGTGTCCAACCCACCGTGGAGGCAGGGCGGCAGCGCGCTTGCGCTTGCCTTGCCGAGAAGGGCAGCGTCCAGGGCGTGGTAACTGCGCCCAAAAGGGCTGCCGCTATCTTAGAATCCACCTCTGAGGAGTGTCAACGACAGACAGCCGTCGCCGCTGCGTGTAGGAAGTGCTGGTCCACCACCATCTTGAGGCCGTAGTTGGCCAGCGTGGCGTTGTTGGCCAAGGTGATGGAGCCGTTCATGGCCGCCGTGGTGCTGTAGTCGGGGTGCTCTTCGTGGCCACCACGCCCTCCAGCACGTCGAAGACCGACTGGTCTGCCTTGTTGGAGAGACCTGTGGTCAGCAAGCTCTGCAGCGCTGCGATGCTGCTTCCGTGCGCGGTCCGTCCGTGGTGGCCAGGGCCGCAGCCGTGGCCAGGGGCGCAATTGCCGGCGCCAGCGCGCTGCTGTCCAGCTTTGAGGTCAGCTCGGCGGTGACTCGGTCGTCCAGATGGCCGCTGCGTTGTTGCCGGAGGCTGCCGTGCGCCAGGTCAGCCACTTGCGCGTAGGGTGTCAGAGCGAGGGCCAGCTGCCCTGCAGTGACGTGCGTGCCGTCAGTTACCTCTCCGTAGTCCAGGACCTCCGGGATGTTGCCCGTGCGCAACGGCCCCCTTGAGTCGCTATGGACCATTCGGGGTCTTCGTAGCGCAGGGTGGTGTAAATAAATATCATCTCGCACCACCCCCAAGCCGCTATGGACCATTTGGGCAAAATCGCTGTGCCGTGGAATGACGAAGTGACCGATGGTGTCGGACACCTTGGTCTGAAAAGAAGTGAGGGAAAGCATCCTTCACTTATGATGAATTGACCGATGGCGTCGGTCAAAACACTTGGGACGCAGTACTGGCACCTCGGGCTGTAGCGCATGATGAGTTGACCGGCGAAGCTATGCATTGTGTGCATAGTCTTACAGGACAAAGCTTGTCTCATGGGGCGACGCGGGTCATGAGACACCTCGGAGGCTCAAGCGCTACCTTGTCTCAGTGGTTATGACCTGCGGCCGGGCATTAATGAACCAACCTTGCGCATTGATGAATCAAGCCGTTCCATTATTGACTTAATTCTTATCAGTGAGCATTTGTCTCTATATCTTATATATTCATCAAGTTCATAAGACTTCACTATTCTTTTCTCCACAGCGGGCAGAAACCTGCATTCAGATCACAGGGGTGCAATGAGGCTAGCACACCCGAAGCCGCCTAGGCTTGTGAGGAAGATGACCACACTGGTCACTGAGGTGAAAGCATTTAGTTCGCGAAGACCAAACAAACACATCATCACATTGCAGCGTCCGAAGCACTGCCGCGCGACTCCACACAAAGAACCACACAACAGTCGCTCCAACGGAACACCCGAAGGTGAAGCTAAGCAAGAGAAGCCACTCAAGCATCACGAAGCGTCCAACCTGGGCGGGCGGGCGGGGAAAAAAATTTGACACCAAACCACCACGTTGTGCATGCATGTGTGGGTACAAGCTATAGAGCCAAATGCTCACGGGGGACAAACGTCACTTCAAGAATTAAAGTCGCATCTTAACAGAGGCTATCCTTAATTCTTATCAGTGAGCATTTGTCTCTATATCTTATATATTCATCAAGTTCATAAGACTTCACTATTCTTCTTTTCTCCACAGCGGGCAGAAACCTGCATTCAGATCACAGGGGTGAAATGAGGCTTTCCTTTCCACACAGACAAACATCAAACGGGGCCTGAAGGAACCTCTATTAGACCCATTGCGAAAGGTGACTGAAGGCCTCAAACCCCGCTTTCTTCATCCGAGGTCACCGCCCGCGTGCGGCTTGAACCTCAGGCCTGAAAACGCCAACCTGCTCGGCGCATCCGCAGGGTTGGATTCACTAGGAATGCGAGAATACCATGGACGCAAACACAACTGAGTTTCCAAATGCAAAACTGCGGAAACAAGGAATTGGGCCTCGCGCTGCTGGCAAGTACCCCGAATAAGCGAGTGCTTAGCAGCTTCGCTGTCAATATGAAAGAATACTGGCTGATTTCTCAGATGTTCTCCCCACGCCGCCAAGGCCACTAGGACTGGTAGGAGTTCTGCATGCAAAATGTGCCGAGGTGGCCAGAGCGCCAGGACCTCCGTGCCGAGGGCTAAGCCCCAATGCTGGTCCTGGCTTGATCTCCTTCGCCCTCCTGAGCTCCATCTGTGAAGACATGCCATGGTTCTTTCTGAAGCATGGGGACCTCCACCGGAGGGTTGTGTTGTAGCCGGTGGATCATGGCCTCAATGCTCACACGCAGAACCGGCGCAACGGGGAAGTTTGTGTAAAGCCCTCCACCACCGACATCTGTTTGATCATACAAACCCCAACGCGGCCGTACATGTGGGCCTCGGCGAAATGCAACCTGGATCGGAGGGACTGCAATTGTCGGGCTGTGACGCAATCGGAGTGCAGAATCTCATGCAGGAGGGCGAGCAGCTCTTCACACCGAGCGGCCGTGTTGCGGACTGCCAAACGTTGGGGTGTCATGGAGCAGGAACTCAACCCCCAAGGCCGTGAAGGTCTCCGCAAAAGGGTGGTCTTTCTTGGGGTTGGTGCTAAGGACGAACCCCAAAACGTGGAATACTGTTCGAATCACCTTTTCAGATACGCTAGTAAGTGCCACGTCTGAAAATGGGACATAATCGTCCAAGTAGTTGGTGATGACCACCCAAAAGACCTGTGTCAAAATGCGCTGCAAAGCCATTGCCGTGCGGGCAAATGCATAAACCGACGCTGTGCCGCCAAAAGGCATACAGTTCATGGCGAAGGCCAAAGGCCGACCCGCAGATGGACAGAAGTGTGCCACATATGCTAACCGACGATGAGCCGGTAAGACCGGAATCTGTCTATATGCATTCTGCATGTCGAAGGACCGCCCATGAAGCGGTCGGCCTGAAGCGTTGCAGAATTCACGCGCCACTGCCAAAAT